CTATCTACAAAATCCAAACTAAACCTCGTAGCATACCACAACAATCGGTTAATTATACGATATTGGAAGATCGGTTTTCTATAAACGCGTCAATGGAGAGGTTATAGTATGCTTGCCGCTTGGCTAAGCATCGGAATCAAGAGATTTGATTGAGAAAAACTATCCGCCACTTGCAATTGTAAATGCTGTAAAGAATATGACACTAGAAGTAACGAATATTAAGCATAAAATTCGACAAACCATGAGATCTCCATATTAGGGGTCTTTACACTCAACTTTGAAACTATATGAAACATAATGGCCTTATATCGATTTCAATAGAAGACGAAGAGCTGACATATCTTTATTCATCGAATACCATTATCAAATACAATGCAGATGGCACAACAACAACAACATCTTCCGCAACACCATCCATCGCATCACCACCACCACTCGACCAGACCAACGTTTCCACAAGTTTACTCACCGAAATTCGAGACATACTAGTTCATCGCGCCCCATCAAATGCTAATGACGACCCTAACTGCGACGACGTTGATGATGACGTTGATGACCCTAACGACACCGCTCCTATAATTCCTGTATCCGTTTTAAAAGTAACAAACAAAGATACAGAAAAATACTTTGACAATTCTCGTTGGTGGTGATAATATGGAAACTGATATTTTTGAAAGTCGTTCGAGTTGACACGTCTACAAATATAGACGACAGTTGGACAATTTGCAAACAAGAATAACGGCATAAATGATGAGTGCACTCCATATTAATTATTGTGGCAGATTAAAACAAAAATGAAATGGGGGTGTAATATTTAATCGTGTGAACAACACCAACGTTGTCGTACATGCGGTCACGTTACTGTAACCAATTTCTGAAGATCTTGGGGTAGTTGATTAAATATGCCTACTACTTTCGTTTATGCTTAAGAACGTATTAAGGTGATACTACTTAACCCAAAGTTTTCTCAACGTTTTCGAAATGTAGTGTTTATTGCTGCCATTATTGTCCGGTTGTGCCCCGAATACAGTCGCATATTAATATCATCCCGTTTATTACTTCTTCCCGCATGCCGGAAATGATTTATCAATCGGGGATTGTCACGTCAGATTCATTGAGAGAGTGACAAAACGGATAACACTTACACCAAGTCTCACAATTATTATCTGTTAGAATTACCCATTCTTTTCTGTCTTACCCTAAACCTTCTTTTGATGGATGATCAACGAAGCAAAATAATCAACGATTTAACAGTGGAGCTAAACAATTACGAAGAAAAACTTAATACTATATTCAAAGAATTAAACTGGGACATTGACACCATGGCTGAATATGAGAAGGTGTGTAATCTGGCTTGTGAAAGTTATTTCGAGTGATAGTTGTTAATATATGAGTTGATGAATAGGGGTCGAGTAATTTGATAACATGTCCATTCGACAATGGACACAAAGTACAAGCAAAATCATATAACGATCATTACAAAAAGTGCGAACTAAAGTATCATGGGATAAAGGATGAAAAGAGAAAGGTTAGTATTTGTAACTATTAGATTGGAAGCCATATTCTATTAGAATATTGATTTTTTGTAAATTTCCATGTGTTGATGCAACTGCTGGCATATGTGCCTTCTTGTATACCAGAGGAGACAACTTCCAAGTTCACAGTTCTTTTATGAACAATCTCCAATTGTCATTTCTCTCGTGCAAGATTCAGGTTCACCGCGTTATATTCAGTTTCTCATTTGATCTCATACTTGAGATATATGCTAATACCGTTCTGCATATAGCACCCGATGAATCAATCTCGTCTGTTAGGCAACCACTTTCAGTTTCGCAGCGACTGGGTTCATATCTAGCTGACATTGACTTGTCTAATAAAATTAGACAAGAACAACACAAACCTGTGCGTGATGAGTACAAGAATTTTGATGAAGTATGGGAAGCGTTACAGAGAATGAAAGGTACGCCTCCACAAGAGAAAATCCTTTCGGACTCCTTATGGGCGATGGCATTATATTCAACAATGGAATGTCGAACGTGAGAAATATGATAGACAGTACTCATGGGGTATTTGTACATTTAACATACAGAGCAACAGAATCAAGGACAAAAATCTCGGGCTGAATTATTAGCTGAAATGAGAGACTATAAAAGACGAAGAAAGAGCTACAGAGCTAAAAATATAAGTATCACAAAGAGAACAACAACCCAGGTATTATAGAACATTCCTTTTTGATTTTTTGGGGACATTTGGATTGACGGATACTGATAGTCAAGTTTCATTGCTTCCCTTATCTACGAATGAACAGGTACATCATGATCTAATCGCGGCATACACGGAGGATTATAAATTATTACATGAATTTGGAGACATGTTATTAGATGCAGTAAGGGACGAGGGCCATACCAACAAGCATGTCGTGTCAAAAACCGAGTCGATGAAATAAAGCATAAAAATATTGTTGGCCAACAAGATTTTATATTATATAACCTGTAGTCACTGTCACACTGTATATATCATAGCAGTTTTTTCCACCTCACGTGAGAAAAATATTTAACAGATATTGAGCTTTGCTCTATATAATAAAAAAAGGTCAGGAAACTAACAGCTACCAGTGACTCGGTTAAACGTGAAATTTGCGACTTTCATAAGGCTAATGACTATGAACTCAAGCTGGGATTACATCTCATTTTAACATTGATCGGGAAACAGTCAGTAATTATAATGGCTTGGCGTTGAAGAAGCTGCTAAATATAAAGAATTTTTTTCAACGTAGAGTCAAATTTTTCTGTTAAAAGAGGTTGCGAATGTCTGGCAAGTAATTCTTTGGTTATGGAGAAAACTGAATTATTCCCAAGTTGATATACCACGTACTCCATCGTAAGATTTCCGTTCTTATTGGCTAGTAAACCAAGATCGCTTTGTGCGAAGTATAATAATAAATATATTTTGTGTGACTCCATGTGAAAAGTATGGTGCGACTACGACTGTATTGCATAGCTTTGATGCTTTTTCTTTTACTCAAATAAGTGTCAACCCTCTTATATTACATAAACGCGTAATTTTTTTTTCCTAATAATATAACCGGTATTGTTGCCAGTATAACTATAATTATAACTATCTAGCTTATGCTTAGAATTTAAAGCAAAGTAAGGGCGAATCTGTATAATAAGCTCTCGCCCCCACCAGCCGCCCCGCATTGTGTAACGAAGACTTTTGAATGATTCATAGCTTCTATGTAAGAAGTGGATGAAATAAAAAATTTTCTATCTTATAACATGTTGTAGCTCTTAGATAAAGATTTTTTTTTCCAGTGGCGCCCAATATTGACATCTAGACTTCATCCTCAGAAAGTAACATGTTCGGTATACCATCTTTGATGGAATAAACGTGATTGCAATTGAGACATGTCATCTTGCCTTGTTCAATGTGTGTCTGCAAAGAAAAAGAAAACATGTTAAGATAACGATACTACATCACATGTGACAAACCGAAATAATAATCAGATTGTTCTAAACTTACTTCCAGCAAGATGTGGTGAAGCGTCTTGAGAAAAGACTCGTCAATCTGTTCTGGCACATTCTCTGGAAGACTCGCTAATCCGAGCTATATAAGGCAAATTCATGTCAGTACCAATGGTTACTATATTTGGAAACCAAATCAACAAGTGTTATTGTCTGCACAAACCAATAAACCATACCAACCTCGGCAACAGTCTTGACGAGACCATCCCATTTTAATTTCGGTAACATGTTTCTTAAAAATGGACCATTGAATTCAGTTTCATGATTTCCAACGACAACATCCGAAAATTGCAAAGGGGAGCTTTTTACGGAGCATCCCTTCACGTGGCATTGAAGCATATTATGAGTGATTAAACGCATGTTGTTATATGTATGATGGTATGTATGTATGTATGTATTTATATAGGGGGCGGCAGTATTTGTGGGGACGATAGGTACTAATAGACGAAGTGGAATATCGAGAAATCAAAGCCAGAAGCTTGAGTTTATATAATTTTTTTTCAGATCAGGCACATATTATTGTTACACATATATGCTATATGTCATCATGGACAGCAATCACTTATTGTTTAAATTATCGACCTTGGCTCCTACGTAGTGCACACCTTACACAACATCGACGAACGAACAAGCAATTTGCGAATATTTCCAGACATTGACATGCTATCCATTAGATTTCTAAGTCGTTCCACGGAATCCACCTTTGCAGGTCGGTACATGCCTTATTCTTTGGACATATGCGTCATTCTTGCAGCATGCCACAACATTTCCAATAATCGTTTATTATTACAATAGTTCTACGCAGGAGTACGACCTACTTTCATTCATCATCTATTTTACAGACGGGAAAAGTGCTTGAAGCTAAAAAAGAGACGTTTAACAGTTTAGTAGAGACAGCCAGTGAACCCGTTATCGTCGATTTCTATGCCGAGTGAGTAGGAACCTTTTAGATCTAATGATGACAAAGATTCTCGCTTTTTCTCTTATTGACCGAAAAAGCACAATATAACAAAAAGTATTGAATAAGATCGTTGAGACAGTTTACTTTAAAAAAGTTTATTTTTACATAGCTAAAAAAAATAATGATTATATATACTAAAGAAGGGAACTCTTTGAATAGTTTTAGTTTTTTTTTCCATCTCTAAATGTTACGTAATGCCAAACAGTCATAGGTGCTAATTGTGAGTAGTGCTTTTCTGAATAGTACATAATAGTAACGAGGGCCGATATTGTCTCCAATCATAGACGATCTCACGATTAGCTAATCAAAAAGATCGCCGTTGCGCTGCTATTCTTACAATCTTCCTATTTTTAAGGTGGTGCAGACCATGTAAAGTCCTGGCACCAATCATCGAAAGCGCGGTGAATTCGAACAAAAAAGTCACTCTAGTTAAAATCGACGTCGACGAAGCTCCCGACATTGCTCAGAAGTATGGAGTATGTAGAAACTTTTGCTTCCTCTCGAATATACGAAACTAGATCTTATTGATAATCAACGTTTGATCAACAGATTTCATCAATGCCAACGGTAAAGGCCTTTCATAAGGGCAAAGTGGTGGATGGGTTTATAGGCGTACAACACGCAGAATTCGTCAAAGAATTTGTGGAAAGAACGGGATCATTGGCTAATTAACCTCATTGACAACCTTATGCACACGTGGAGCAGGCAGGCATTGTTGGGATTACTCAGCGGACATCCTGATGCAACGTTTTGTCCACCATGTTTATGTAATTTACTCTAAATATATTTTACTTAAAGGTAATTGAAACAATTACACGAAAGCATACCATTCTCCTTATGCGCGATCTTTTTGAATGTGATAGTGGCTATTCTTCTGAAAATAGTTTACCCATCCTGCATACTATGTATGGGCTTAAAGCCCCAAAACTAAATCCGAATTGTTTCAACTGCCCACTTCTGTTAAAAGCTTTTCCCTTTTCATTCATCTAACTGGTTCTCGTATCTACAAATAACCCACAGTATACGATTATATGTGCAGTGTCTAATTTACAGTTTCCTCATGCGGGTAAATATTTCTTGCCGAGACATTGTGCCTTTTTTTTTTCGTTGTGCAACATGAGTTCCAATGATGTTATCAGGGGCATTATACAATAAATGTACAGGCCATAAAAAGTAACTAGAATGTATGACTGGACGCATAAATGTATTAATCGCGCAATTTATTGTTTTCACCAAGAGCGGAAAATGTTAATTGATTGCCGGAAAGGAAGAAAAGAAACGACAATGGGGAAACAACAGTTATAGGGATTATGTCATCAATAATATCAGTATCGAATATAGATGTGTTAAACAACACAATTGTTTTCAACTGTTAAGTTAAAGATCTTTTCAATTTCTCTACCATCCCCAAACCAATTCTTCAACTTCTTCCCAATTTTTACAATCTCGAATCTGCGGCATGCATGTCATTAAATACTTCGATAGACCCTCGAATTCCCATAATAGAACATACCACATCGCTCTCCTCCCAAACATTCTGGTTGAAATTCCACCACCATACGCATTTAGAAATCTTTGTAACAAAGTCTTTGAGCAACCAAGCGCGCTTATGTAAACAGACACAACATCAAACAAAGGGTCCCCTCCATTTATGTGTGCATCTCCGAGATCGATAACAGTGGTAGGTGTCCAGTCACATTGTGAGTCGTTAGATTTTACCACACCAAGGATATTTTCTGCATTGAGGTCACCATGAAGAATACCTGCGTAAAAACCATCAACTGCAGGGTCAAAGATCTCTGGACCCGATTTTGGTAAATATAATGGCATCTGTGCAATCAGCTCAGACGGAAAAGAGAGCCACATTTTATGCGAGGCATGCGCCTTTTCTATGCGATTATTAATGAAATCATAAAATAACGATACATTCATGTCGGATCCTGGATTTTTGGATGGTGCGATATTGTGAAGACCTGGATGTCGTACATTTGTTCGGAAGAATTTGTGTCCCACGTAAATCTAGTGAATAATTCAATAAACTGATTTGCTACATTACCTTTTAGGATTTTGGCTATGCGGTCCGTGAACAATCCCCATTTGATCACCCCATATTTCCCATCAATGTCTACTCCACTTCGAGGACTTAAGCCACCATCTTTGAAAACTTCAGCTAAGCTCACACTATCCTCCACCTCTTCAAAAATCATAAATGGCCAGAAATACAGTTGCTCTGAATTTCCTTCATATAAATAACCATTTCCCAATACGTTCGCAAAATAGCAAGAAAGATCCGGGTGAGCGTTCGCTTTTATCAATGAATACGTCTCTGACTCTCTTTTATAGCTTTCAATTCCATCATATATGTGAGAATAAAACTTTACAATTGAACGAGAGAACCTGAAAACCTAGTACAGTCACAGATGTATTAGTATTGTATGAAAATGACGCTTCAAAAAGTATCGATTTGTCGATTTGTATAAGCTTACGGGATTTTGTCCTTGACCTATAGACATAATATCTTCAGGAACTGTAATTCCAGACTTTTTACAGGCCTCCTTCACCCTAATACCCCATATATCTGTATTATTGAAAGATTCAATAAAAGCCATCTTCGTGTCAAATCCTTCATTCTTTATAATTGGGTCTTTCGTTTGGTCTCTGAACATTGATGTTCTTCTTTTGATATATGCTTCCAAATCCGGGTATGTCCTTGTCAATATTTTTGAAAACTCGTCCCATATTAATAGCTAACAATGGTCATTGATTTCAATAAGATACAAGAGTTCCACGTCAAACTGAAAAGATGTCTACAGAATAGCCTACATTTTGTTTATCCGATTCGCTCAAGAGATCTTCACAAACATTGTCGAGGTTATTCATATTCACAAAATTTTGAGTAACAGCAACAGTATCTTCAAGATTAAGCACCTGTAGAGGAATTAATTGGCTGTTAATAACAAACTTTGGTGTTTGCGAACTGAAAAAGCTAATTGATTCAATTACGTGCCATATGCCACCATCCACTGAAAGTCCGATAGAGGTCATCAGTATTGGCGCTTTACTGTCACAATGAACAACTTGGTCTTTTGTGAGAAAATTCTTACCTAGGAACAAATATAGTCTGTCTAAATATTCAAGTTAGCTGAGATAATAATATTATTGTTAACTTCAGTTTGTAAGGTGGCATTAAAAGACGCACCCAGGCTCTTGCAAGACTTCTATTGGTCTCAACTCTGGTGTTAATTGCGGATAAATCTCCAAATACCAGAATAAAGAAGTCACTGAATCATCCGTCTGATCTAGAAGCGATCGATAACCATTCGCTGATAAACGTGAGATACTCATTCCTACAAATAGTATACACGGTTAATTTCCACAATATAAATGGTTGATAGAAAATAACGACAACAAAAAAACATACCGGGCGGGACTAATTGGGGGGGATAACTAGAATAATATGTCTTAATATATAGACATACAGACAAAAAGGCAATAAATTTGTTCACTCACAGTGCCCATCGTTTTCTTCCTGAAATTAACGTGTTCCAAGCTTATAAAGAGAGAATGCAATGCTATAATTATTCAGCTTGATTCGCTTAATTAAATTTGAAAAGCATCAATCTACCTGAAGTTCCTACTGGATCGACATGCCATGATGCTCCTGGGAATCGTTACAATATTAGGCCTTCGTCTCCAAGTTAGAAACGGTTTCTCGCACATAACATACCAGATCTCTCGGGACCTATTATTATCCATCGATATGGCGGGCGTTTAGACTGCAGTACTGAAAATAGATCATCCTGAAAATATTCTGGAACCTACGAAATATTGTTTATCAGTGAGCACGGTTTGAATACGAATATTTGTTAGTATTTAATTTACCTGATATGCACAACCCATTTCGGGTATATTTTCAACAAAATTTGAATCAAACACATATAACGGCGTTTCGTCGTGTTGTCTTCGAATGTAATTCAGATAGGATGCTAGTGTCATCTGTACGTATTTTACTTTGCCGCCACGCTCGTTTGCCACTCTGAAAATCTTGTTGCCATACTATACACAACGGCCCCCAGTTTATATTTCAAATCGCATAGAATTCCAATTATGCATGATCGTAATCAACTTAATCTTACTTTATGAACGATATTGTTTAGTTTCCATTCATCCCAGGCTCGCCATTTTTCGACGCCAGTATTTGTGATCAAACACGGCATAGACGGTGCGTCATACAAATTATTAAATTTTGTTTTTGACAGGGTTTCTCCATTCTCAACGGCTACACGTCCGAGTGCTTCTGGTGGAGGCACAAATTTACCGAGAAACATGTTACATCTACACCATTTGGCATAGAGATAACGGGATTGAATGCCTGAGATATAGACGTCAAATAAGTTCGATAAAATTCGCGGTAGGGAATTCGGCCAACTATATTGATGATGCCCGATTACCATTCAATCGAAGGGGCCAACAAAGAGGATGTGATAAAACACGATGTCTTTCCTCCTCGTCTGATAGTCTCGATGGGAATAGATACGTAAGTAACCAAGTACCACGGAATGTGAAAGACGCCATAACTTCCTTGTTGGAAAACCATTTATCCAGACAATGTCTCTTCCAAAGCTGGTCGTCACGTGAGAAGACATACAAATATCGAGATACTCTCGCACACCTTCCCAGATCCTGATTATTACATTAATCAATTATCCCGGATGGAAATTATGTTGGGTTGCTTGAGTAGATATCGACTTACTTCTGCAGGAAGCTTTTGAAGAATGAACTCGGACAACAGATCATCCGTGAGCATATTAAAATCACCGAGACTGATGGCTCTGTTGTCCATCTTGGTCTCTAACTGAAATGAAAAAAAGTGAATACAATGAATTATAAATATAAATAACTCTGCGCCATACAGAATGTATCTAATTGGTTGAGCATTGTCAGAAAAATTACACCGATTTCTAGTAATAGTAATAGATTATATAGCCCAGGCCCAAAGGCGAACCTTTAGATTTATACGAATCACTCCCATTCTTATCATATATATTACCCGCAAAATATGACGATTATACACACCTCATCTAATAACCCAATTCGCACCAAAATGAATCTGGTTTCAATCATATATATTGTCCCAAATCCCCCGCCTTTTCGCAGTAACTGCTCAAAGCCAGAAAAAAGTCTGCGACGCAGGACACTTCGTGTCTATAGATAACACATAATAATAATAAACAAATTAATTAACTATACACATCTGGGCACAAACTTGTGAGTGGACAGGATATAATATTCTCTATAAGCGATAAATATGTCTGGTTTTGATGTTATAACTATTCTCGATAAGAAAGATAGAACATTACCGAAACCCTTTAACATTCGCCCTGGATATGATATAAAATATGTCGTGTCATATATTGGAAATTATTTTGCTTTTGATGGAAAACGATACGACGAACTCTTCGATAATGAGAAATTATTCGATATCTTATTTATCATAAAACAGAATGAAACACCGGTTCAATGGGCAGAGTACCTTTACAGAATTTATTAAATGCTAGAAAATTTAGTGTATATCACCGGCTATGTTTATTCGCATCGTTTGGTAAAGGTAAATTTGTCAATTTCAATTATTATAGACCAAGAATCCACAAAAGTCATATGGCTATTTGTTTTGGTTATGGGATCACGAGTGTGATAAACCTAAATCTCGAGACGGATATGCGAGAGTTATACAAACTGCTTATCGAAATTATAAGAATAGACCCGAATCATTAGCAACCCAAGCTTGGAATGCAATGAGAGATGATGGTACTTCTAATGATAAGAAATTTCTAGGTTTAAAGTGAAAAATCCTCAGACTCGAGCACACTTTAATCAATGGCGTACTAAATGGATGGAATTATATGAACAATGTAATTTGAGAATTCCTTTGGATATTTATGTTAGAGAATATGAAGAATATTATATTCCAGTTAATTGGATAGATTCTATAAAGAGTCAATTGCAGGTTAGATTCCAAAAGCGACTTTTAGAAATAGGAGCATAGTACTTTAGACTTTATTTCGTTATCCTGAGGGCTGATAACATTTTTTACTTTAGTTTTTATATACGGTATTTTATCCGACACAAAAAACCCCCCTCGGTACGAATAGAATTTATTTATTTTTCAACATCTACTTCAACCTCAATCAGGCTGGATACTGCAGTACTGATAGCTATTTCATTGGAGAATAGTAGCGAATAAGATGTTAAACCATCACTCTAACTTCAAATCGGCAGGATCGATCAGCTTCTCAATAATATAAGAAGTGGCGGATAGATGTATTATATTGCTGTATTAATAAATAACGGAAAAAATAATTATCTCATTATCGGGAATCACGCTTTATTTATTAGAAAGATCGAGTGCTTGGTCCCATCCTTTGCGAATATATAGAGGATCTTCTTTTGCTCTAGTTAAATCGATAACAATAAATTCTCTACCTTGCAAATTTCAATATTCACTAGCTCATCATATGTACCTGCGCCATTTATTAGTTTTGGACAGTCGAAAAAGCTTTGTGTTATGTATATTGAACTGATATTAGCATGTCGCCCTTTTTTAGGCTTGGTACATAGATCTTCGAATACAACTACTGTTCCTCTTTTAGGGTTTCGGTTTCATTGCTCGGAATGTGATATGGCTTTGGACTATTTGCATAATAATGTTTGTATTACGCAATCGATTTTTCAGGCATGTGATTTTATTTTGGACATTTGGTCATAGCATGCGCTGATCGCTGTCACGTTTTAGCAGTGAAGTAAAAATTATAACGTGTACCTGTTAAAAGTTCCTCGTGATCTATAACGTGTACCCGTCGCAAATACCAAATTACTAAATTTAATACCACTTAAAATGGGTGACCCACAAACGTACTTTGAAGAACACGCAACTTGGTCATTGGTTTCTTTCTTGCAATACAGACAGTATGCAAAAGATTTCACAAGAGATAAAATTAAAAAACATAGGAAATATATGAAAGAACTTGTTAGAATTATTTCAAATAATGAATCAAAAGAAAAATGTGCTCAAGCTCAAAAATGTCTTAACGACTTTGATGTACGTGTTTTTTATATAAACATTTATCAATAAAAGCCCTGAGTAACTGGCTGACTGCGTCTTGGCCAGTGACAGTGGACCGCGCCTTCCCTCGGGGCGTCTGTTTCCATGTTGCAACTAGGAACTGCGCCTTTCTGGTTGTTAGACTGCGTCTCGTTTCATGGAATATATCTCCTAATCCTTTGATTATGATGATAAGTTTTGGTTATTTGATTAGACTAATATATTCTCTGTTTTGTAAGGACGAGAAATTATCCCAAGAAGTAGACGCTTTTTGGATATCGAACTCGATAAAGCTTACCAAGGTGAACAGATTACCATCTATAGATTCTTATTTTAATGAGAAGTTGACTGACGATACTTAATAGTTAAGCTATGCAAAATCTGCGTTGGATAAAACCATTGAAGAAGCAAAGGAAATACGTTCAATTGTGTCTGATGAAACAATATTCACTTTGAGAGAGTAGATAAACATTGGCATTTTACATATATTGAGATTCAATTAATATTTTTTTAAGTCAAAACGACGCATTTTTGCCTAATTTTGAAAACGTGACTGGCTGACATGTAGCATATATCGAGATAAAATTAGTATTTTTTAAGTCAAAACAACTAAGCACATTTTCAAAATTAGGCAAAAATGTGTTGGCATTTTACATATATTGAGATTCAATTAGTATTTTTTAAGTCAAAACGACACATTTTTGCCTAATTTTTTGTCTCAAATGTTACATATATATAAGTGGCATGAGTACTCGGGAAAAGGTTGAAAAGCGTATGTAATGCGTAATTATGCAATACTGATTTCAGTAAGATGGCATCCATATATCAGTTGAGAATAAGACTATCTGAACTGTATCATTTTAGGTTAAAATAGAACCAGGAGTTGTCAATACCGGACGGCCTATAATACATGACCGGAATACTTTTAACATGCAATTCTGACAGATTTCAGAAACAATCAGCAGCTTAATTGAGGCTGAAATTGTATATTTTTACCTGTGTCTGCTACTGTCAAACTCAACCAATATATTGTCTAGTATAGTATAACAGCATGACGTAATACTGCTGATAATAATAAGCCATACATATGAAAACTAATTCTTTAAAATAGCGATAATAACATGAATAAGTCTTTACATCAATAGAAAAGCATCATGACATAAGATCAGAGAAACGGTGTTGATTAAAAATGTTATCAGTCAGCAGAAATAACATGGTATTGCAGTCATTATAATGGTTCTATAATAATAACGAAACGTTTAGAGTAAAAATTTCAACCAGGAATGTCTGGAATTTACTACGTATACTCCACGTGTATAATTTGATCATTACGATAATGATAGCAACGCAACGTTATGAAAATGCGTTCTAATCATTAAGTAAAAACTGTTATCTGTATTGAGTAATAACAGGAAACTTTACTGATTAAACCCGTATTTCCCTTAGATAACGAAAACCCCAGTCTGGCAGCATACGATTAATTAGGGAATTGTTAATTTATATACAGTGTGTAACAAAAAAAATTGGAAAAATAAAACCTGATGCAGAAGAACAGCTAGTGAATGAAAATAAACGTGGAATAGCTCATTTGAAATGTTAAGACTTCTGGATTTATTTAATTATATATTAATATGGTATCCTTTTACCCTGTTTTTTAATAACAGGCTCACAACATATTTTCATTAGTTAACTAAATTAATTAGAACTATATCGGGAATTTTCTCCCATTCTTCCTCCATAAATTGCACCAAATTACCACGATTTTTCGGTAGTCTTTTTTCTACGTGTCTTGACAATGTTCCAGAGATTTTCAATTGGATTTAGATCTGGACTGGTAGATGGCCAGTCCATTAAGTTGGGCACATTATTGCTGCGAAACAATTTGGCGATTTGACTGGTATTTTGGGGGTAAAATATAAAAAAGTTACATAATAATACCAAAATAAACCTTTATTATATATATAAAACAAAACTTTGCGTTTGTTTTGAATTATTTGCGACGCAATTTGGATCCAAATTGGGTGAGTTAGAACTGTTTACATTACGCAATAATTTTTCCAATTTTTTTTGTTACACACTGTACCTGTGACTTGCTGACTTTTATCTTTATTCAATATGTAAAAGATATTACAGCCAAATTGTTGCTACAATTACTTTTATATAATTACTTGTAGGCTTTACACAAGAAAACAAAGAGGTTCGATCTAATGCCTGAAGTGACAGTTTAATAGTTCCTGAGTAATCTTGCAGGTATAGAAGATTTCCGGTGTAATAAAAGGCAAAACGCCTTGAATGGTTGAATTGGACCCGTGCGAATTCACCGATCGTAAAGGACCACAATCGCATACTAATGAACTTATTCTTTAAAAGCGCATTATTATTGCACAACTATATTCCGCCATGGAGATCACAGTGCACTAATCCCGCATGATGAATACACCACAGACAATATGCAA